ATTCCAGGTGCCTGCCACCACACCCAGCTAATTTTTGTATTTTTAGTAGAGATGGGGTTTCACCATGTTGGCCAGGATGGTCTCGATCTCCTGACCTCACGTGATCCACCCACCTCAGCCTCCCAAAGTGCTGGGATTACGGGCGTGAGCCACTGCATCCGGCCAGTAGGACGTATTTAGACAATTTTTTTTTTACAGTTCCCTACCAGCATAAATTACCGATTTGAAAATTCAGCCCTGTTAAACGACTCATCCTCACATGACAGTGAGATGGCTCCCATCTACTGCCTAGATATAACCTCTATAATGCATTCTACAATAAGTATCGTAAAATTATAGGCGCAGGCCCCTTTAGAGGAAATATCTATAGCCTCTAAAGCCAAAATCTGTAACTACAACATACCTACAAATGGCCCCGTGCCCAGGCATAATGTCACACTTTCCATCGTTCAAGCAGAAGTCAGGCTGTAGGTCACAGAGACTCTGACAGGGCCGTTCTTCCACACTCAGGTATCCAGGGAAGCATCTGCACTTTGCTTCTCCACTCCAGGGGTTGACCAGACACTCAGAAAATTCATTACAGGCCTGAAACTTGCAAGGGTTGGCTTCATCACCTAAAACATTAAACAAATAATAATGCAAGAAAATGCAAAACACAGAAATTCAGGTATACAAAGTCCCTCATTTAAAGTTCTCCCCCAAAGTATATGGGACAACCTCCTTCCAGAACCATTAAAGTACACCATCGCCTCCAATACCACACACAAAAATTCTCACTCATCCTAGATTGATAAGCTTTTGTCAAATTTTTGTGCAACCCAGAGCCCAATCATAAAACCCTATGACCTGTCTAAGCCTTAACATGTTTTACCTAGGGAGCATGTAAAAGCTTTACAAATCCATGCCATGTAATTATAGATCTAAGTTAAACACAATAGTAATTGTAGATCTAAATTAAACACAGTTTTCATGGACCATTCATTTCCACCAACCCCCACCTGCTGCAGTTGACCTCCACTCTATATACACTGCTACACGCCTTGCACAACACTGAGAACAGGAATGGGGAGAGAGCTCAAAAGATAACTGGCAGGAGCCTCGGGGATTGGTATAGCCCAATAAGAGCAGCCTAGGAGCAGTCAAGATTTGTGAAAATCAACATTAGGAAAATAAGTCAGCCCTGCACCTCCTAAGGCCATTTCCAACAAAATATTTTTGCCTTCAGACTTAATTTTTCATTGATAGGCTGAGGGAAAATGACTATTTTTAAAAACTAATTAGGATAGTAATCAGTCAAAAAAGACATAAGACATTGACCATGAATGGACCTTCCATCCTGCCACAGTTCCCTCATGTTCTTCACTGGTCAATGGTAATCTGTGAATGGTAAGTGGGCAAATGGTGACACAGACATTGAAAACAGGGGAAATAGGTGGAAATGATCCATAGACTCATCTGTATTAAAAAGTATAAAGTTTAGCTAGAAAGCTATAGGGAAGAAAAAGAAAGAGCATAGTCTCTTCGTTTCCAAAAAAAATGGAAGGATCTATATACATAATGTTTTGAAAAGCAATGATTTCCTTGCTGCTCTGGAAATTGAAGACAATTTTGCACAAGTCTCTGCCCTTGGAGTTTGGAGGATCACTGAAGTTGATCTCCTTTGGCCTCATGTGGTAACAGAGGGAATGTACTGAGTTGAATAGTGTCCCCAGAAGTTCATGTCCATCCAGAACCTCAGAATATGACCTTATTTGGAAATAGAGTATTTGTAGATGTAATCAAGTTAAGAAGAGGCCATACTAGATTAGAATGAGCCCTAATGCAATGATTGGTGTTCTTATAAGAAGAGGGAAATTTAGACACAGACAAAAACACACGGGAAAGAAGCTATCTGTAGACAAAGGCAGAGATTAGAGTGATACACCTATAAGCTAAGGGATGCCAAGGATTGCTGGCCAACATCAGAAACCAGGAAAAGGTAAGGAAAGGGTCTTCCCTAGGTCTTTCAGAGGAAACAGGGCCTGGCCACCATTTTGATTTTCGACTTCTAGCCTCAAGAACTGTGTGAGAATAAATCCCTGTTGTTTTAAGGCACCTAGTTTGTGGTACTTTGTTACAGCAGCCCTAGGAAACTAATACAGGGGACCACTGCCAAGGTGCTCACATAACAGGAAAAACATACAAATGTATTGACAGGTGGGAAATTTCTACAAGGGAACCACATGGCCAGATTTCACTGTATATTTCGTAAGTCTTCACATCTTTATCCTGGTGTTCGTTTTGTGACTTTGCAATCAGAAAATAATCTGATCCTTACCCATTGGTGAGGGATAGGAGTGTCTATAGGGGTGAGGAAGATGGTACTGCATAGCTCTCTTTTGTTAATGGAAGTTCAAGAGCTTCTGAGACACTACATGTGAAAATAAGTTGGGCAAGAGTCAAGTCAATCTTGTCTCTAGCCAATCTTGAAAAAAAGTACTTTAATCTGAAGGCCTTTAACTAAAAATATAAGACTGAGTATCCCTTATCTAAAATTCTTGGAAGGAGAAGTCGTTTGGATTTCAAATTTTTTCAGATTTTGGAATATTTGCATTTATATAATGAGATATCTTGGGGAGGGAATCCAAGTCTACACACAAAAAACTCATTTATGCTTCACATATACCTTATACACATAGACCGAAGGTAATTTTTCACAACATTTTAAATAATTTTGTGCGTAAGACAAAGTTTGTATATACTGAACCACCAGAAAGCAAAGAGGTCACTGTTTCAGCCACCCATGTAGACAGTCTGTGGCTGTTCAGCATCACCATCACGCTGTGCGTGGAAAAACTGTATCACACTGCAAGGAATTTTGAGAGTCTTTTTTCCCCTGAGTCCTCTGAATAAACTGTTGTGCATCTGCGTTTTGATTTCAGCCCATCACATGAGGCCAAGTGAAGACATTTACCCTTGTAGCATCACGTCAGTGCTCAAAAAGTTTCAGACTGGAGCATTTCAGATTTCGGATTTTCATATTAGGAATGCTTAACCACTATACATGTAGTAAAATAATTCTAATAAAAATTTTTGAAACTTTGTAACCATTCTGCAGGTATATGTGTCTGAGGTGAGAAAAATAGTCTATATTTTCTACACATTAGGAAAAAGATATAGCCACAGGAAAAAGATAAAATATAGCTTTTTGCTTCCAGGCCAAGAAGAAAGACAAAGCCTAATATTTTAACCATGTAAATAAAAGATTGTGGTTTCAAAGTCTCTTTCCACTCCTTTGTGCTGGTGAAGAAAGGGTGCCCAGGTAGCTGACTATATGTTAGGAAAAGTGCCTCAGTGATTCTGTTGGGGAAACAAAGGTAGAGTTGGAGGTAAATTTAGGATGGGAGACAGGGATCTAAATTGTGGAATTAATTACATTCTGGTTTTCTAGAAGCAGCTTAAAAGAAGGATAGATGGGTCCAGAAAAACGAGAGTAGAGGAAAGATGTGAAGATGGTCTGGAAAGACAGCTTTATGGCCTGAGCAACATCATAGCTGGCTGGGTCCTGGGAAAAAAGTTGATCAGTAAGAGATGCCCTTGAGAGGGTGGCAGAGGAATTTTAGGATGGTTATGCCTAATGAATATTTTTAGGCCATCTGCCGTGCTGAGATAAAGCCTTCTCCATTACCTTTATACCATCAGCAAATGCCTGATAGAATCAACTGCCTTACGTTAGAGATGCTCTGAGCAGATCAAAAACAGGACTGTGATTTGCATTAGGTTAACACCACAAGAGTCGGGACTCATGTGAGATTGAAAATTCAGCAGAGGAAACTCAGAACTGGGGAAGATTAAGAGATATTTAAGTTCCCTAACAATGCTCAGAAATATTGAGGAGTTAGGGGAACGTAGACACAGGTTTTATACTGCACAGGGTGGGGCTAATGCCAGCTAATTGAATATTAAAAGTAAAGGCGAGCTTATAAACCTTGATGACATTGCACACAGCTGACATGTGAGTTACATACAAAACTGAAGTAAGGTGGTGGCTGCCAAGATGGCCAAATAGGAACAGCTCCAGTCCCAGAGAGATCAATGCAGAAGGTAGGTGATTTCTGCATTTCCAACTGAGGTACCCAGCTCATCTCATTGGGACTGATTAGACAGTGCGTGCAGCCCACAGTGGGTGAGCCAAAGCAGGATGGTGTGGTCACCTCACCCGGAAGTGCAAGGGGTTGGGGAACTCCCTCCCCTAGCCAAGGGAAGCCATGAGGGACTGTGCCGGGAGGAACAGTGCATTCAGCCCAGATACTATGCTTTTCCCACTGTCTTCACAACCCGCAGACCAGGAAATTCCCTTGGGTGCCTATACCACCACAGCCCTGGGTTTCAAGCACAAAACTGGGTGGCCATTTGCACAGACACCAAGCTAGCTGCAGGAGTTTTTTGTTTTTTATTTTTTGTTTTCATACCCCAGTGGCCAGCAAGACAGAACCATTTACTCCCCTGGAAAAGAGGCTGAAGCCAGGGAGCCAAGTGGTGTAGCTCAGCAAATCCCACCCCCATGGAGCCCAGCAAGCTAAGATCCACTGGTTTGAAATTCTTGCTGCCAGCACAGCAGCCTGAAGTCAACCTGGGGCACTCGAGATTGGTGCAGAGAGGGGCATCCACCATTACTGAGGCCTGAGTAGGTGGTTTTTCCCTCACAGTGTAAACAAAGCCGCCCGGAAGTTACAACTGGGCAGAGCCCACCACAGCTCAGCAAAGCTTCTGTAGCCAGATTGTCTCTATAAATTTCTCCTCTATGGACAGGGCATCTCTGAAACAAAAGCAGCAGCCCCAGTCAGGGGCTTACAGATAAAACTCCCCTTTCCCTGGGACAGAGCACCTGGGGGAAAGGGCAGCTGTAGTGCAGTTTCAGCAGACTTAAACGTTCCTGCCTGCCAACTCTGAAGACAGCAACCAATCTCCCAGCACAGCACTCAAGCTCTGCTAAGGGACGAATGCCTCCTCAAGTGGGTGTCTGACCCCCATGTCTCCTGACTGGGAGACATCTCCCAGCAGGAATTGACAAACACCTCATACAGGAGAGCTCTGGCTGGCATCTTGCGGGTAACCCTCTGGGACAAATCTTCCAGAGGAAGGAACAGGCAGCAATCTTTGCTGTTCTGCAGCCTCCGTTGGTGATACCCAGGCAAACAGTCTGGAGTGGACCACCAGCAAGCTCCAGCAGACCTGCAGCAGAGGAGCCTGACTGTTAGAAGGAAAACTAACAAACAGAAAGGAATAGCACCAACATCAACAAAAAGAACGTCCAGACACAGAAACTCCATGAGAAGGTCACCAACGTCAAAGACCAAAAGAAGATAAATCCACAAAGATGAGGAAACACCAGCATGAAAAGGCTGAAAATTCCAAAAAGCAGAATGCTGCTTCTCTCATAAAGGATCACAACTCCTTGCCAGCAAGGGAACAAAACTGGACGGAGAATGAGTCTAATGAAGTGACAGAAGTAGGCTTCAGAAGGTGGGTAATAACAAACTGCTGCAAGCTAAAGAAGCATGTTCTAACCCAATGCAAGGAAGCTAAGAACCTTGAAAAAAGGTTAGAGGAATTGCTAACTAGAATAACCAGT